TATTATTCATAAAATATTTCTCTTCTCAAAGAAATTGTATTAAAGATGGAGACTAACAATGGATATAGTAAATGAAGTAGAAAAAAATTGTTTATAACATTTAAAAATTAAAAAATAAACAATTACAGTAAGTGTGCATTAGATTTTCATATTTTAGTACCTAACGATTGGAATCTAGAAATATCGCAAACCTATGAAAATAAACAAAATTGCTCACGAGGGGAATCGAACCTACGACCTACGGACTAACAGACCACGCTCTAACCACTATGCTAACGACACATGTGTACAGTAAAGTATTAATATCTTAGTATCATTCAGACATACAATTATTGAGTCAAAGATGAGAAAAAATAGGGATACGTTAGAAATAATAAATTGAAATAAAATAAATTAAACTAAATTTTTAATAATTAAATTAAATTACTTTATTTATTGCATTTAACATTTTACGTAATTCTTAAATTACGTGGTAATTTTTTAATAATTTTTTATTCATAGTAAGAAGTATAATAGTATTTTAATAGGAACCAAATTATTATTGAGATTAAAGTTTAAATTTTTTGATTTATGATTTTCTTTGTCCTGACTCGTGAAAGGTATTGTTCTCTTTAATAGACGACTCCCCCGACAGTCCGCTAAACCGGCATTCGAGTGTAGTAAGAAAAAAAATAGAAGAAAAGAAGAAATACACAGGCACAAAAAAAGTTTTTGGCTGAAGCTCTACATTAGTATATCTTCATGTATTTTTGATCGCTAAATCCGAATCCGAAGTCAGGATTGTCAGATTGGTTCTTTTTTTGAGTTATATTCAAAAAACGACTCAAAAACCGACTTGAAATCAAAAAAAGAAATTTTTTTTGCTATGACACTACATAAGTGTATTTCCACGTCACTTTTCTCGATGAATCCAAATTTGAAGTCAGAATTGTTTGATTGGCTCAAAATTTTTAGATAAATTTAAAAATACGCTAAAAGGCGCGAATGTTATAATCAAAAGGATCAAATTTCTTTTGACACTACATTACATTAAACATTTAAGTTATTTGTAGGTGTTATCACACTCTTTTAGATTCAAAATTTTGAGTCAATCTAACAATTCTGATTGTGAGTTCGTAGTAAGCGGAAAAAACAAGAAAAAACACTAGTGTAGTATTTCGGACAAAAAGATTTTTTACCTTTTGTTTTTAATTTGTTTTTTGAGTTTAAGTCATAATTTTGAACCAAATGACATTTTGACTTCGAATTTTCAGTAGTATCATCTGTAACCAATTACTTTAAGTGTTCCTCTTTTGTGCTTTGTTTCTATTATTTAAAAATAATATACCATTTTGAGTAAAAGGAATTTATCAATTTAAAATCGTGTTATATACATTTGCAATAAAGGTCACGAGTATAGGTATGGTTTTTCTAATAAAATATACTGTAAACCTCTTTTTGGAAATATGAGACATAAGCAAACTTTAAAGTTTTGACGCGGAAACTTTTGTAAACCAAGGTTTTTTCTATATACAGGAAGAAAGTTCCCTTATAAAAGTTTTCCAATATGCCAGTGACTTCGTTTAGTCGCGGGTATTATCGATGTAAGAAAAGAACTTGTTCATTGCCCTATGAAATATGGATATTTCGCTTTACATCTAGAAATACTAAACAATTTCTGCCTTTACGTGTCTATAGTATGTATTTTTGAATTTAAAATAATTTTTCTTAATAAATAATTCAGTGTTCATATAGTCGCAAGTAAAAGACAATTGAATTAAAATTGCTTAAAAATTTCCAACACTCTGAGAAAAAGTTTATTTCACTGAACCGAACTGTTTAATAAACAATTTTGTTGATTCAAATAAAAATTTGGTTCATTTTAATAAATACGTAAAATTTGTTTGGATACCCGAAAGAAAATTTGTATTTGAATTTGTTTGTTTCATTTAACCAAATTAGTGTTTGGAATAGAGATTATTATTCAGTTAAATAAAATTTGCTTGACATAACAAACCAATCATTTTATTTGAGTCAAACAAAAATATTTGCTTGTCTCAAAAAGTACATGTGTGAATTTAAAAATGGCAGTCTTGCTTGTCTACAGTCCGCGTTCGCGTCAAATTCATTACGTAAATCGTAAAAACAAAATTATAAGTCTCGGTTAAATAAATGCATTACCCGTGTGGAAATTTGTCATTAAAGTCAGGGTTGCCAGATTCCTAGTAACGAGAACCGCAATTAGAAGGCGCTGATGTAGCCCAAAAACCGCGGTAATATTTAAAGCCCAAAAAAGCGTATAAAAATAGAGATGTAGCCCAAATCGCGGTTTTTAGTAACGTAATTCTACCTCATTGGAGGTTTTTGACGTAGAATAGATAATATTTTTTATATAAGTAAAATCTGAATTTTCAAAATAGTAAATTATGTATAAAATTAATGAAGTATTAATTTTAATATTTTTTGTTATTTACTTGGTTGGCAAAACCATAAATATGATTTTTCATGTATTATTTTAAATGAAAGTTGCTATGCATCCACATAAAGCCCAAAAACCGCAGTTATTATTTAATATATAGCCCAATCGCTACTTGTAGCGATTTCAAAATTTAGGCCGCGAAATATATGCAAAAGATAGCCCAAATCGCGGTTTGTAGCCCAACCTGGCAACCCTTTTAAAGTTTCTAGGTTCTGCATCGTAGTACTAGATGTGCAATTCCACGCCACTTTGACAGCGTTTTGGAGTAAGCAAATGAATTTTAATGAAACTCAGGGATTGTAATCTATATAAAAAAAGAAATATTTTCACCAAAAATGAAGTCAAAATATTCGCTACTTTTTGAGATAGCAAAATTTTGAAAAAATTTTGAAATCGTTATATCTCCCATAAAACTTTATAAAAACTAAAAATTTTTTTTTTCAAAAATTCAGGATGAAAAAACGAAAAAGAAAATGTTAATAATGTTTATATAAAATTTTGTTAATTAAAAAAGTTATTTAAATAATTTTACTTAACTTTTAAGCGGCCAGTTCAAATTCTATTGTTTAAAGAGAAAAATTAACTTGATTGTTTAATATTTAATATTCCGAAAGAAAATTTATATACCACCAAGAAATTTTCAAGTTATTAAACATTTTATTTTGCTCTTAAACAATATTACATACAACAAACAGACGACATAGGCTGCGCGCGCATCTTTCGTCTGATTTAGAGGAAGACATTTTTTCTAAGACCAGAGAAAAGATGCGCGCGCAGCCTATGTCGTCTGTTTGTTGTATGTAATATTGTTTGAGAGCAAAATAAAATGTTTAATAACTTGAAAATTTCTTGGTGGTATATAAATTTTCTTTCGGAATATTAAATATTAAACAATCAAGTTAATTTTTCTCTTTAAACAATAGAATTTGAACTGGCCGCTTAAAAGTTAAGTAAAATTATTTAAATAACTTTTTTAATTAACAAAATTTTATATAAACATTATTAACATTTTTTTTTCGTTTTTTCATCCTGAATTTTTGAGAAAAAAATTTTTGTTTTTATAAAGTTTTATGGGAGATATAACGATTTCAAAATTTTTTCAAAATTTTGCTATCTCAAAAAGTAGCGAATATTTTGACTTCATTTTTGGTGAAAATATTTCTTTTTATATATAGATTACAATCCCTGAGTTTCATTAAAATCCATTTGCTTACTCCAAAACGCTGTCGAAGTGGCGTGGAATTGCACAGATTCCTTATTGTTTCTAGACAGTTTTCTATATTTATTTATTTAAGAAACATAACGGGAAATGTCCTTTTGTACAAAAGTACTCCTAAATCTAATATAACAATGTTTTTTTAACTTAAATCTAGGTTGAAACTTTATTATGTGTAAATTAAATAATCTCAGCTTCTATTAAACATTATGTTACGCAATGCCGTTGTGAACCTTATAACATTATTATCAAAGAAGTTTATTTCATTAGAAATTAAATTGTATTGTGCTTATTGTCATTTGTAACCCTTCAGACAACTAGTTAGACAGTTGAAAAAGTATAAATACTTTACAGCATAACTAGATGAATTCTAGAAAATATTGATCAACCTAGAAAGTCTGGACCGTTATGTTTTTAAGTGCACAAGTAAATGAAAATATTACTGTTTTAGTGTTTTTTTACAGAAAATAAAATAAATAATCTTTTATTTTTATACATTAATTTAATAAAAATCATTACTCAGGGGTTGTCAAGGTCACTGATTACACTGAGAAAACGATTTATTTGGTTCAAACATATTTTGTTTAAATCAAACTTAAAATATCTTTACTATACAGTCAAACATATTTAAGTTTAATTGAAACATATTTTTTGGTTCATTTAAAGAAATAATATATTTAATTCAAACATAAGTTATGGTTCATTTTAAATTATTCATAATTAACTTTTAAGTTTGAATCAAACATAAAATTTTTAAACATAATTTTTGTTTAAATCGAAACAGAAAATATGAATTTGAATTAAACATAATTATTGAAACAAATAATATTTTTGAATCAAAGCAGTAAATATTTTCTATATATTGGGATTAAGCTTACAAACTAATTTCAATTAAACAAAATCACTTAAAATTATTTTTCTATTTGAATGTTTTCTCAGTGTACGAATCTGACATCAGATTTTCAAAATTCAAAATGGCTGGTTACAATTTGAAATCAGTAAAAACCGAGCTCGGAAACTTGCGAATCCTACTAACTTTAAGGAAATTCGGCCATTATTGGATAGACCATTTTCAATTTTAGAAAACTAAGTTCCAATTTGTAATCAGCAATATTAGATCCGCCATTTTGAATTTTATAAAACTAACTTTAAATGTAATATAATTATCTGATTCAGGTATACGTATATATTTATTTGATAATAGATGGATGTTTGAGATTTAATAATTTTTTATAAAAATTGTTTATTAGTAAAAAGAATTATTTGTATTGTCAGTGGATTTAAAACTTGTACGTAATTTTTGTGGTGTTTGTTTCTTTTTTACAGCAGGACTGGGAATTAACGAAAGGTTCGACACCTTGGGGTAGTGCGGTGAGAAGGTGGGCAGAAATGCAGGATGGACAAAAGATTTTGCTGACCACCCCAAGTGTACTTGTTGGGTTCCGAGTAGAAGTTTATCGGGCAGAAGGCACCACTCAATGGTACACTGCAGTCATTGTTGGATACAATGAGTCGACAAAGGTAAATTACTTCACCCTTTTTTACTTATAAAATAAATTACTATAATACCCTCTTACTTTTCATCAGTGAGAAGCCGTTGATAAAAATTTTTATTTAATGCGATTATAGTTGTTATTATCTTATTAGTTACATTATTTTATATATACATATACACTCTAACCTGGATAAGCGCTGAACTCTAACTTATTCAGGTTCGACTGAATATAATATATTATATGTGACAGGGACAGTTTAAAGAGACCTACGGTTCGAAAATTGATTGGTCTGATAAAGACAATTTTTTTTCTATCAGAATCACTAAATAATAAAAAATTTATTTTTTGCAACACTAACCTGTAAAATTGAATTTTACACACAGAAAAGAGAAAACTGTGTGTAAAGTACTTCTTTTTATAGCGGTGTGTAAAGTGTTACTTTACACACCGTGAATTCCAGTGTGTAAAGTGATTTTCAGTGCGTAAAATGGTTACTTTACGCATACTTGTGACTGTTTGATGAGAAACAATGAAATAAAGCTTTTAATTAACAATTTACAATCACATTTTTTTATTTTAGCTTCTAGAATAGTACATTTCGTAACAAATGTGAACTGATAGCGTTTTTGAAAAACTTGCGCGAGATTCAAAAAGCAGTTCACACAAGTTACGAACGACACTTTTTATAATAAAGTCATAAAAAAGGCGTTAAAAACGAGACACCCAGATTTGTCACAAAACTAGTTTACCGATATACATTCAAACGTACTAAAACGTTTTGTCGCGGGGGGGGGGTCGGCCCCCCTACCACAAAAAAACCGACTTAAAACATTAATTTTCATTGACAATTTAAAGGTAAACAATTCATTTCAGTATTAATGTTGAAAAACCTTTGGTGTGGCCTACAAAGAGAAGGGTACTTAGGGAGGCGTAGCCCACCGTTCTCAAATAACCATCTCCAAATCATAGGCTCCAAATATTAATTATTCTGACAGTTGATAAAAAAAAGTGAGGTTATGTTGAGGAAATGTTTTGACAATGATAGCGAAATCATAGAGATTTTTAGATTTCTAGCGAATCATAGGTTGGTAGTGCTGTCCATAACTATTGCTATAAGGCTATTCAAGTTGGGTGGGGGAAAATTCAAGATGGATGCTAACTGGTGCACCAACATTGTATAGAAAGTGTATGGGATAGAGTCTAATTTTCTAAATATCTCGCTTAAACGAAATTTTTAACCATAAGTTTATTAGGATTTTATGTTTCATTTTTAAAGAACTATGTTTTGCAATAATAAAATCAATAAAAAAATAAAATCGATTTTTATTATTGCAAAAAATAGTTCTTTAAAAATGAAACATAAAATCCTAATAAACTTATGGTTAAAAATTTCGTTTAAGCGAGATATTTAAAAAATTAGACTCTATCCCATACACTTTCTATACAATGTTGGTGCACCAGTTAGCATCCATCTTGAATTTTCCCCCACCCAACTTGAATAGCCTTATATATATCTACGCCTGCGCAAATAAGTTTATCGCGACGCGTTTTTGCAGTAGTCTGTGTGCTACTATTTTCGATAAAAACGTCGACTCATGCTGTTCTTCTCACTTGTTTCATCGCAGTCGTTACATTATTTTTCTTTTTCGTACTCTGGGGTAGTCTTATTTGCACTCCGTACGAATAAGAGCTCTTATGACGCTCTGTTCAAGAGAAGGCAGTTTTCTACTTATCTCCGGAGTACCAAAAAACGCCGTTTTTATGACTGAGTTATAAAAAATTTTATTTAACAGTTCCCCCACTACACCTAAACTTACAGTAATATTGGCAATATTCCTGCAAGTTTAGTTGTTTTAGTGTTGCAAAGAATTTTTGTACATATTCTTATAATTAGTGATTAATAAAAAAAATGTATTATTATCAATTATTAATTATAATTATTATTATGTTGAGTAATCTTCACTTAAAGTTTAGTAAATAAAAAAATTAGATTCTTCAAATGAAATAGTAAAATTATTCTATAGATTAGTTAAAATTCTGTATATTAATTTTAATTAGTATAATTAATTAATTATAATCTGTTATAAATATAATCATAAATAATACGACATTAATTAAAAAGGCTTCATACATTTTCAAATTTTCTCTAAATTTAAGGCGCAGTAAAATTTCACTGCCTCAAATTTAGAGCTGATTAGAGAGAGTGTAATTAATTCCATCTCTCGATGAGAAGTTTAAAACTTGACAAAAAAATTTTAATGGTAAAATACATAGTATACTTCTTTTCAATTAATAAAATAAGATTAATTTTGCATTTTGAATTTAAGGAAACTACAAGTTTAAAATTTGTTATTCCTGAAAACAAAAGAAGAAATCTATTCTCCGTGATACAAGAAATATTCGTAAAAAACGTTAAGGAAAAAAATGAATAGTCTCACGTCGTTTTGTTTGCTAAACTTACCCCCTTTTTCCTTTCTTTTTACTTTAAACTTCTCTTCTTCTTTTTCTTATTTTTTTTTCTTATTTTACCTCACGAACTTTTCTCAAATAAGAACCTTCTCTTTTTTTTCAAAGTCAAACCATTCTTTAGCTCTACTTTTGTTACCTCTTTCTCTTTTTCTCTCGCTCTCTTTGCCGCCTTTAAAAGATTGCAAAAACTTTTACACAAAACTTGTAAAAGAAAATGCCAAGGTGCTACATTAGACGTGCGATTTTTCTCACTGTTATAACTTTACTGATTCCACAAAAGTTCTAAAGTCCAAATGAGTCTTTTTGAATATTGAATATCCTTCAACTTTCTTTTATATTTGCTGTGCGAAAAATTATTGCTTTCGTTGTTTGTTGAAATATTTGAAACTTTCAAAACAATTATTTCCGAGACATTTTTATTATTATTGTTATTGTGATTATAATTCAAATAAATTATAACCATAGTTATAAACATTTTTATCTGTGTTATAATTATGTGAATTTAAATCCCAACAAAAACATCTTTGATGCAAAAAGTTCCGCCAAGTAAAAGATTTTGTGACTGTCCAAACAATTAGTGAAATAAAAGTTTACCAAGTAAAATTTGTAATTAAAATTTTAATAATGATTGATTTTAAATATTTTCTCTCCTACACAACTCGAAGTACATATTGCAGTTGAAAAAAACAACCCGGGCTTAGATGTTGTTATTGTACATTGCGGCTTAATTACACTTCCGAATTAAGTCAATGTTCTTCATTGCATTTTGAATTGTAACAAATAAAATTTAACTTAATAATTAACATTCACAAAAAACGGAATCTAATTAATTACTCGTCATAATAAAAAATTTCTATTTCATCAATTTAAAAATCTTGGCGTCAATAATGCTTCTAACTTGTAATTAATGAAAGTATATTTCTAGATTCCAATCGTTAGGTACTAAAATATGAAAATCTAATGCACACTTACTGTAATTGTTTATTATTTAATTTTTAAATGTTATAAACAATTTTTTTCTACTTCATTTACTATATCCATTGTTAGTCTCCATCTTTAATACAATTTCTTTGAGAAGAGAAATATTTTATGAATAATAACTATTTATTAATATTATTTACCATTTTGTTGTTAAATTATCTATAATTATGAATTTAATAATAATTAATAACAATACGGCATTTATTGCGGCAATATTCTCAGCCAGCACTGGTCCAGTGCTGCGCCAGCGCTGTCTGGCAGCACTGACAGACAGTACTTCGGCAGCGCCAGACGGCGTTATCATCCCAGTGCCATGCCAGTGCTATCTGTCAGCGTAGCTGCCAGTACTGCCAGTGCTGGCGCAGTACTCCGCCAGTTGTAAATTTCCCATTGGGTATTTCGAGAATATATATCGCGGTTTTTTGCTTTTTACTTGGCGGCGATTCTCTACCGCGAATCTTGATTGGATGTTTGTTAGTTTTTAACTTTTTAAATTATTTATTTTAATTTATCTCGACTTTTCTCTAATTTTTCTAATTTTAAAACCTGATAATCTTCAGTATCGTTATAATTCTTTTTTCTAGAAATAGAAGAGAATTGTTTTCTTCTATTTTCAGCCACGAGTTTCGTGACTCCTTGGTCTTTTTATGCACGTATGAAAATGATTAAAAATCTTATAAAAAAAAAATAATAAATAAATTTCTAACCTGACTTTGTTGCGTGTAAAAGGATTTCTTATAACAAACTAGAGAAAAAAATAGGCGCGATAAGTGTGGGGTGTATAATTTCAGTCAAGACAGGATGAAATGTCATAAATTTACTTTACTAAAGAGATACATTAAATCATTTTTTAAGGAGGCCGCATTATTTGCATCATTTAAACTTAAAAATAACTTAAATATAACTTAAAAATATCAATCACATTTAACTGACTTCGAGACTGATTCAAATTTTACGAGAGATGTACCCAGGTGCGAATTTAGGTTGGCCGCCAGAGTTTGAAGGTTGGCCCAAGGTTGGCCTAACTTTGGCAAGCAAAGTTTTGGTTGCCAGAGTTTGCCCAACTTTGGCAAGTACTTGTGCCCACAGTTGGCCCGACTTTGCAAGCCAACCATTAAATGCAGAGTTTAACCAACCGTCGGGCCAACTTTGGCGACAAAGGTTGGCACAACTTATCCAAACGTAGTGTAAAAGACTTTCAGTTTCGGTTGGCCGAACTCTGGGCCACGGTTGGCCCAACGGTTGGCAAAACTATGTGAAACACAGTTTAATTGACTTACATTATTTTGGTTGGCCGAACTCTGGGCCACGGTTGGCCCGACGGTTGGCAAAACTATGTGAAACGCAGTTTAATTGACTTAAACTTTCTTGGTTGGCCGAACTCTGGGCCACGGTTGGCCCAACGGTTGGCAAAACTCTGTGAAACGCAGTTTAATTGACTTGATTTTTCTTGGTTGGCCGAACTCTGGGCAACGGTTGGCCCAACGGTTGGCAAAACTCTAGAAACGCAGTTTAATTGACTTAAACTTTCTTGGTTGGCCGAACTCTGGGCCACGGTTGGCCCAACAGTTGGCAAAACTCTAGAAACGCAGTTTAATTGACTTGATTTTTCTTGGTCGGCCGAACTTTGGGCCACGGTTGGCCCGACGGTTGGCAAAACTATGTGAAACGCAGTTTAATTGACTTAAACTTTCTTGGTTGGCCGAACTCTGGGCCACGGTTGGCCCAACAGTTGGCAAAACTCTAGAAACGCAGTTTAATTGACTTGATTTTTCTTGGTCGGCCGAACTTTGGGCCACGGTTGGCCCGACGGTTGGCAAAACTATGTGAAACGCAGTTTAATTGACTTAAACTTTCTTGGTTGGCCGAACTCTGGGCCACGGTTGGCCCAACGGTTGCCAAAACTCTAGAAACGCAGTTTCATTGACTTAAACTTTCTTGGTTGGCCGAACTCTGGGCCACGGTTGGCCCGACTGTTGCAGCTTAAATATACATTTTGCGTTATGCACTCCCATGTGAGCGTAGCGTAGTGGTCAGTGTATAAGTCTTCGGTGCGTTAGGTTAGGGGTTCGATCCCAGCGAGCGATAGATATTTTCGAAAATGTATGTATGAGATTGTGTTTAATAATAATAGGTAAAGGTTATATCTGATGTTCCCGCTAATAATAACGTGTTAATTGTTTAAATAATGTAGTTTTTTAATAATTTTTTACCTTTGGCTGTTGAAGTTGGCCAAACTTTGAAAATTGTGGTTGGCCCAACTTACGCATCTAAAGTTGTGCCAACTTTGGCGTCAGTCTTTGGACCAACCATTGAAATGTATAGTTGGCACAACATATGCATTGTAAGTTGGGCCAACTTCCTTATGAGTTGTCGGGCCAACCATCGTCGCCATTAGACGGCGACCGTTATCATCTGTATGGTTGGCCCAACCTCTGGCACGAGAAGTTGGACCGACTTTGTAAAAGTTGGCCCAACTATGGGCCGACCAAAAAATCGCACCTGGGTAAAAAATAATCACTTATTTTTTAAATATTATAAATATATTTGGCTCATTTCATTTAAAATGTAAAATCTATGTTTCTTGGACAAAAAAAAAGTTTTTAGGTAGCAAATGAATATTGTTTGGTTTATTTGATTAATATCTAACATACTCTAATTTTTTATTAACTTATAGAAGAACTTTAAGGTGCTTTAAAACGAAATGACAGACTAAAAAGCAGACTAAATGTCCCCTACTGTCCCTGTCCTCGAGGCACTTGCACTACATTGCCTCTAATAATAATTAATATATACATTCTTTTGTATTAGATTTAAACAAAAATTCTTTATAATCTCTAAACCTTATATTTTAAAATTCATTAATTACTTCATATAAAATTCAAGAATATCATTTTAAGAAATTATTAAAAACATGTCACTTATTTTCATATTTTATATTCTGCCAAAATGAATTCATTTTTGCACACTCACTACGAATAGGTTACGCGCTTACACTCACTGTTTTACCGATGCTACAATAACAGGGTGTCTGCAACACCTGGAAAACCTGGAAAATCGGGAAATGTCAGGGAAATTAAAAATGTCCTGGAAAACCGGGAAATGTCAGGGAATTTTTTCGAAAGTCAGGGAATTTTTTTCATCATGACTTGAAATACTCTTGAACAATATTTTTAATGCTACCAATTAGTTATACAAATTTTTAGTAAAAAATTAAACTAATAATTAATATTGCCTTTCTAATTTGCAATTCTATTCTATTTTGAGAAATAATATGAACCACAGACATACATATAATCAAATAGAAAAAAATTGACCACTTAAAATTCTGAAAGATCAAAAGAAATGCAGAAATAATGGCATTGAAAAAATTCGTTTCGTAAAATAAATCAATTTATTTTTAAAATACATAATTTAGGGCTCAAACTAAATCCCGTAAAGTCCGTAAAAGTCAGGTTTTTTTAAAAAAGGTTCGTAAAGTTCGTAATTTGATTAAAAAAGGGCGAAAATTTTGTAAATTGTACGATATAATTTGAGGAATTTTAGATAAATTACAAATGATTGCAGAAATTCAATTATCTTCAAAAGTAATAAAATTCTTCGCAGAAATTCAATTATATTCAAAATTTTTTTTAAATTCTCGTCAAAATTTCAATTATCCTGATAAATAATAAAATTCTTCTCTGAAATTCTATTATTTTTAAAAATTTTTAATACAATTCTTGGCAAAATTTCAATTATTTTCAAAAATTTTCCTTATTTTAATGTTTTTCAATATGTACTATTTTAATAAAATTGTTCCAAAAGAATCTAATTATTTAAAAATTCTTAATTATTTTCATAAAATAATAAACAGTTCACAGGAATTATTTTCGTGCATAATAAAATTCTTTTTAAGAATTCAATTATTTTCATAAATAATAAAAATGATCAAATAGAATTTAAATTATTTTTAATACAATTTTAATCGAATTCTTCAAAAAATGTAATTATTCTTAAAAATTTTATTAAAATTCGTCATCAAATTAAAAATTTGTTACTAAATTCTTTATGAGAATTAAATTTTAAGAAACATTCAATAATTCAATAAATTATTTAATTTTGTATTTAAATAATTGAATTCTAATAAAAATTTATTTAAAATTTAATTTCAGTTACAATTTTAGATAATAATTGAATATTAAAAGCAATATAGCGTGAATATTTAGAAATTTTATATATTTTTTATATTGTTTGAAGTTTTTATTTTCTAATATATATTTAATTGAAGAATTTACGAATAATTGAAATTTCGTAAAATTGATTTAGAGAAGAATTTTAGTTAAAAATTTTTGAAAATAATTGAATCAATTAGAAAAGTTTAAAAAAAAGGAGAGTAATTTTTTATAGAAATAGTGACATGCGATTAAAAATTGAATTCTTTTTTCAGGATTTAACAGTGACAGATGACACAGTTCTCGAGGACCACAACGAGGATCCGAGTCTTGTGCAAATGCGCCTAATTGGAGACGGAGGTGAGTAGTTAAGGCGATTTCGAATGCTATACATTTGCTTACTTTCCTCAATTCCACTTTGCCTTGTGTGTGTATGCGCGCATTATGTAAAGCTCTCTCGTAATACTCCGCAACGAGAGAGTGAGAGAGGTTCAATAATTACGCAGTGTACGAATCCATTTGATCCACTTTAACTGCAGTTAATTTCAAATCACGAGTTGCTGATCAATGTCTACTCTCTCTCTCTCTCTTATTTTTCTCCTCTTCCGTTCTCTTAATTTTGCTTCCTTTCTTCCTTGAATCTTTGCATTTGCATTTTAGCTTTTTATTTATTCTCTCCTTTTTTTGCAGTCGTCGAGAGTATTATGCGAGGTGAGGTCGTCGGCATGACTCCCAGGAGGTCGAGGTCATCAACTGGTTTGACCCACACACTGGTCATGGTGAGTACCAAACAAGTTTTCTGGATCTTTTTTTTAACAACAAATTTGCAATAAGTTTTGCGACATTTTTTTTCTGTATTTTCAAAAATTGATATTATCTACTAATTTTTTACGAGATTGTAAATCTATTGTAATTGAAGGGCTACATAAAATAAGGGGACGAACGCGTGGTTGAAAGGGATAATATCAGTCAGGTAGCAGCGAGCGGCTCAAGGCTTGTCACTGCTACCCGACTGGTACTATCCCTTCCAAGCCTCGCGTTCGTCCCCTTATTTTATGTAGCCCTTCAATTCATTATATTTAGAGTTATGTGTTTAAAGATGAGTTCAAAATTTTTATTAGAAAAATATGCATTTTATCGAATTTTTTAATTTTACAATAATATTAAATAATGGTAAAAATAATTTGCATTTTATCGAATTTTATAATTTCACAATAATTCGGTTTAAACTGAATTGTTAATTTTTCATTGTTAATCAAATTGCTATTACAGCAGAATTTGCATTTAATTGAATTTTAAATGGATCAACTTTTTATTTAATCAAATCTCCTATTTATTGCTTTTTCATTTAAATCGAATTGCCATGTTACATTAACAAAATTTTTTTTGAGTTATTTTTTTTTGTAAATTGTACAACTGGATTTTTTAAAAAATTTGATGACATAAACTTTGGCTCTTACGATAAAGGTATATTAAGTGCTACATTTCGCAAATGAGATTGTCAAAGAAAAAAAAGTGAATCAATTTCTTTCGCAACTTTTTCTTTTATCTTTAATCTTGGTATATACATGAAGTGCAATTACTGTTTTAAATCGAACGATAACCCCGTCAAGATATGGTCTTTTGAAGTGAATTTATGAAAGGAGAATAAATCTATATACACGACAAATGACTGAATATACATTCCGGCCTCGGATTGTACTTCGATTTTTTTTAAATGCGACTTTTCGATTTATTTTAATAAAATCCAACATTTTCAACGTTTTTCTGACGTTATTTTTAATTCTGGTATAAAATACAACTTACTTCGATTTTTATAGTAAAATATGACTAATTTATCTATTTTTGAATTTTCAATATCATACCTATTTTTATTTGAAAATTTTTAAAAATCTTTTTCGGAGATAAAGTATTCTACTATTTGCAAGTCATTTTTGAATAAAAAAAGATTTTCCATTATTTGCGTAAAATAGACATTAATCGCAAAGCAAATGAATTTTTTGTTTTTTATGGAAATTTATGTTTAAGTTAAATTTTTTTTTGGGAGAAACTTTTGTGAATTTTAAATTTGAGAATTTTTCTGGATCAAAATTTTCTTTATTCATATTGAACTGGAAAATTTTCTAAACACTGACCTGAGATAATAGTATATTTAAAAAGTGACTAAACATTTTTTTATTGTTCTAACTCAAAAACTTTACTTAAATGAGAATAATTTGTATTTATGTATTAAAATTGAAAATTGTTTTTAAAAAGGAATTTTAAATCTTTTAAAAATCTGTGCTAATGAATTCAAATGTTGCAAATTTTTGCTCGGTGAAATTTTTCACATATTGTCAATTTTATATTTCCGGAAGTATGTCAGAAAAATAAGAGAGTACTTACACTGACAATGAGAAAAACTTATTTGTTTCAAATAATTACTTTTCTATTATCAAATAAACATTTACTTCAATCAAACATTTTTTATTTGAACGAATTATTTCAGTTTTTGAAACAAATATCATTTAATTGTCCTAAATAAAAATTATTTCATGCAAATAAATTAACTTAAATAAAATGTTTTTTTGGGTGTACTCTATAAGTAAACGAAGGAAAAGGGAATGTAAAATTTATAAGGTAGACTAACAATTAGGTGAACAATAATATTTTTCAATAAATTTCACAAGATTTAGTTAATTTTTACCAGTTGTCTGGTTAAATAAACTAATTTTCAATATTCAAATTTGTTTATCTAACACAACATTCAGAAAAACTTACCTCAATATTGCAACATTTACTGGAAAATCTTTCATTTATATTTACTAGTCTACTTTGTAAAATTTACTAAATTGATAATTATTATAAATTTAAAAGAGAAAAAAATGACGTTCGTTTAAACGTATTCTTAATTTTAGGGATATATTTTATCATCTCCGAAGTGAATTTTAGTAAAAGTTAGTAACAATTGCTTTTGGCCTTGTAAAATTTACTAGTTTCGTATTAAATTTTATCACATCTGAAGTAAATATTTTGGTGCACGGAGAGAAATCTGTTGCTATTATTGCTTGCAGAATCTTTACAAATTTTATTAGTCACTGCTGAATAGAATTTTAGCTCAAGGTTATAATAATTTATATACGAAATCATCTATTTAATGTAATGGAGAGTTCGATGCAATAAAAACAAAAAGCAGCTGCTAATTTTGCACGAAATCTTTATTATAAATATAAAGAGAACGTGCTATAAAAGTATTAGATTCTTCTTATAAGAATCGCTCGAACTCCGACTGATTTTCAGGCGGACTTTATACAACACAATCTTACCTGCGTATACGCACATATAACCCACACACACATATATTTCTCTGGATGATTTCGAGGAACGCAACACGTACAACGCGGTGACGTTTGCAATAACATAACCTAACAATTTTCACATGTTGCTTATACGTTCAAACATGAATAAAAATGCAATAATTTTTAACTAATATACTTACTATTAAATAAATATTATCTTTTTATAACAGCAACAAGTATTAAATACTACATATAATATATAATGTTTTACCAGACGACAAAACTGTCCAGAGAAATATATATGTGTGTGAGTTATATGTGCGTATGCACAGGTAAGATTGTGTTGTATAAAGTCCGCCTGAAAATCAGTCGGAGTTCGAGCGATTCTTATAAGAAGAATCTAATACTTTTATAGCACGTTCTCTTTGTATTTATAATAAAGATTTCGTGCAAAAATAGCTACTGTCTCTTATGCTTATTGCATTGAAAGTATTTTTACAATAAGTATATGAATCCATGCTAAAAATATAAGAGAAACGTTAAGCAATTTAAGTAATGTGCTCTTTCGAGTAATATTAGCAGCAGATTTCTCTCCGTGGAAGATAAATATAAAAATTGTCTTCAAACGTACCGAAATTCACTTCAGAGATAGTAATATTTACAATTTCCTAAGTAAATTTTACTATCTCTGAAGTGAATTTCAGTAAAAATTTGTTTAGGACACAATAAAACTAAATTATGAAGTTTTAAAATTTACTATTTCTGAAAATATTAAAAATTGTCTGCAGAAATTACAGAGAATTTTGATTTTACTTTATAAATAGTAAAATTTATTAATATTGACAATTATAAAGAGGAAAAAATCTATTTATAAACAAATCGGACCTCTCTCGCAGAAATCAAAGATAATGACGTGCGTGCAAATTGAATGTCATTAATGATGATTTGTTTCATCTGAATGAAATATCGACCTCCGCAAAAAATCTGCAATCTTTCTAGACGAATGAAAATGTGGGATGAAATGTTGATGACAAACATATAGAATTGATTCGATTTTGATTAGTTTATTTTCTGTTTTTTCTATTCGAAAAAGAATACGAGATAATTGACATTATTTATTTCACATAATTATAATGAGTTCTCGAGTGAATGTGATTTATTATAGTTATTTTTTTAAAGTAATGGCTATTTTTTTCACGTACTATTAGTTAATTACGGATTATTTTCATCCTCTTAATAGAATCTGTTTGCAGGAGTGAAAATATTTTCTTTTCTATTTTTCTTTTTCCATGGATAGTGTTTATTAGGTTTTAAAATTAAATCTTGTGAGTTCTTGGGCAAGGCCGAGTCTGAATGGAAAGCTTCCCTTTAACATGGGAGTAAATCGATAAGCTCGCTCGTGCTTTGCCAGGAGAATCGGAAGAGCCCGGAATAGAATCCGTTGCTATCTAAGCTGCCAACTTCCACTCTTGAACGATATTCTTTTTATTATTTCCAACCTATTGTCTTTCAACTTTTTTCCTTCTCTTTCAATTTCCATCGTGTTTCCTTATTTGTTTTTCATCCGAGTTTGATGATCCTCAAGTTTTGAACGTTCAAATGAACGAAATATTTTTTATTGAAGATATTTTTATGCATTACTAATCACAAAAAAATTTACAAACTGAAATTTTACGTTTAGAAACTCAGTAATTAATTTTTTGGTTAGAGACGCAAAATAATTGCAATAAAAATTTAATTTGTTGAAGAAATAAATAAATTTCGTTCATTTGAACGTTCAGAACTTTAGGCTCTTCGAGTTTGTATAATACTTTGCCTTCAAAATTGCGCCATTAATTTATTCTACAGTTTTCTTAATTAAATTATTATTCTTTTATATTATAATATAACATACCTATAATTGTATAATTTGTATAAATTATATATTATATTCAATGACATATTTAATTAGCTTATTCAATCTATTAAGTAAATTATGAATTTTAATTCAAAATTTTATTTAATTATTGTCAACAGGGGTAATTCTGGAACTTTGGGGGTAAATATGGAATAGGAAAGTTTTTTTTATTTTCAATTTTTATATTATAAATTGTTTTACATTTGATTTTTGCTTTACAAAATAATTGAATATTTTATGAAATATATATTCCCAGGCGGAAATTTCCAACCGGCGCGGATCCTAGCCCGTACTGACGCCGGTGTAACTGTACTGGCTGGGAACCGCCTGCCAACCGAATGTGAACGGGCATTCTACCGAATAGTGACTACTATCGGTTCAAAAAGTATAGTCAGTTGACTTTGAAGGCTTGTAACTTGAATAAAAAAAATCGCACAATATTGAAACTGTATGGAATCAGTAAGTAATTTATTTCTACATTAATGTAAAAAATTAAAAACAAATAAAAATTTTTTTCTTAAAGTTATTAATTTTAGAAGGGAAAAAGAACATGTTTTTTGACACTATTTTCAATAAGGCCTACTTTGGTAACATGTAACTCGTT